AGGATGAAGCACTTGGTCAGTGTGTGGTTGGATATGCTGATTCCGATTATGCTGGTGATTTGGATAAGCGTTGATCAACTACTGGGTATTTGTTTACTCTTGCTAAAGCCCCAGTAAGTTGGAAGTCTACATTGCAATCTACGGTGGCCTTGTCTACTACAGAGGCAGAATACATGGCAGTTTCAGAGACTGTAAAGGAAGCAATTTGGCTTAACGGGTTGATAGAAGACTTGGGAGTTGTTCAAAGTCACATTAGTCTCTATTGTGACAGTCAGAGCGCTATTCACTTAGCGAAAAATCAAATCTACCATTCAAGGACTAAGCATATCGACGTGAGGTATCACTTTGTGCGGGAGATCTTTGAAGAAGGAAAGATTCTACTTCAGAAAATTGCGACATCAGAAAATCCTGCAGATATGATGACCAAGGTGGTAACATTAATCAAGTTCAATCATTGTTTGAACTTGATTAACATCCTGAAAGTATGAACACCTTCGGGTGTGTGGCACTTGTGAGCGCAATTAGAGGCACTACAAATTTGGGGAGTTGAAGAAGTTGAGTAGGCTTTGTAATTTCCAGCCAAGGTGGAGATTTGTTAGATTTGTCTAGAAATTAAGTTGACAAGTTGGAAATTTCATCTTGGTTGGTGGCCAAACTTTGAACATATTGTTCTTAAAACTCAACTATACATAGGCCTAAGTATTTCCATTAGAAATCATCCCAAAAACAAGTTCTCTCTTTATCTTGTATTCTTCATTCTCCCACTTTGGGAATTCTAAAGAATTCCATTTCCATTTGTTGTAATATTGGCGATATAGTGAAGTTATCATCCGGTGTGGTGCCCGAGGAGTAGACGATATTCTCGTCGAACCTCGTAAATTTGGTGTATTCTCTTCTTTATTTTTTTTATTCGGTTCTTTTCTATTGTGTTTCAATATTCAATAGTTTAACAGGTTTATCCACTGTGCAACCTTTGGTGGTTTTAATCTTGACATTTTAGGTCAATTTTAAAACTACGTTCGTGTGGGAAATAACTCGTTTTCCCCAACAGCTTACTTATTCCCGTCACATAGCTTGATCGCACGGTTTCAATCGAACTATACTAATTGTTACTAATTACTAGGGGAAACAATTACTGAGAAATCCAACTATACTAATTGAGTTGGGATACATTCGACAAATGCAAGCCCCGTTCAAGAGAAACTCAATAATTCACCACCTTCTGCTTCTGAACATAGAATGTTAATTGCGTATATGAATAATCCTTTTAAAAACATCAAAGACATTGATTAATGTATCATTATATAAATATAAGTTTGCTCATCTTTGTTTCATTTATTTCTTTTAACTAATTTCAAGTAACTAGGAAAAATTAAAAATAATTTATACAAATAATATCAATTGTCTTGTTATAGTGTAGTCTAATTAACTATTATTATTGACTATTAAAAAAACTATGATTATTGAATAAAGGAAGTTAATGTCTCTTTAATACATTTTCCTAATAGTCATTAATAATATAATAAAAATTAATAAAACTATGCTTGTTTATTATAAAAAAACAACTATTTTCCTAAAAATAATGGTACTGTGCATATAATTGATATGCAAATTTCTTGTTCTGATGCAAGAGAATAGTTCAATATAAGAAAAGCATAATGTACGGGTACGGAGAGAAGCAATCAACGGTGAAGAATGATAGTGGAAGATGTAAATTTCTTCTATAAAAGGACAATCCTATATGCAATCTAAAACCAACTCAAGCAATATCTTCCTTTAGCAGGGGATAAAGAGTTGTACGTTAATAATTTGCATAGCAAGAGATGGGTCGGTTGATGTTAATATCGATGCTATTATGTTTTTGGGCTGGATCAATGTTGATGATTGAATGTGGAGATCCTTATATTTTTTTCGAATGGCATGTTACTTATGGCACTATTTCTCCTTTGGGAGTTCCCGTGAAAGGTATTCTTATTAATAATGAATTCCCCGGACCAAATATAAACTCTACCACCAACAATAACGTCGTGGTCAATGTGTTTAATAACCTTGACGAGCCATTCCTTATAACATGGTAAGTAACTTACGATTCATGAACAAAGGATAGTTTTCCGTTTGATTATTGTAATCAATGATTGAGGTAGATATTTTCGGAAATGGGATGTGTTGCAGGCACGGTATCCAGCATAGGAAGAACTCTTGGCAAGATGGTGTTTTGGGAACTAACTGTCCCATCCCCCCTGGGACGAATTACACTTATCACTTCCAGGTGAAGGATCAGATTGGCAGCTACATGTACTATCCTGTCACCTCTATGCATAAGGCCGTTGGTGGTTTCGGCGGCCTTCGCATTAACAGCCGTCCTCAAATTCCTGTCCCATACGATCCACCTGCTGATGACTATACCATAATGATTGGAGATTGGTTTAACAAAGGACATGTGGCTCTCAAAAAAATTCTTGACAGTGGTCGCAACCTCGGTAGAGCTGACGGTGTCCACATTAATGGCAAAGTGGCCAAAGGTGATGGTAAAGACGAACCTCTCTTCACCATGGAAGCTGGAAAAACCTACAGATATAGGATTTGCAATGCTGGATTAAAGACATCTCTCAACTTCAGGTTTCAAGGCCACCCCATGAAGCTGGTTGAGATGGAAGGTTCTCACACAGTGCAGAATGACTATGAGTCGCTTGATGTGCATGTGGGACAATGCTACACTGTGCTTGTCACAGCCGGCAAGGAACCGAGGGATTACTATGTTGTTGCCTCTACTCGTTTTACCAAACGAGAGGCTACAGCCATGGGCATCATCCGCTACCAGAATGGTAAGGGAGGACCCTCATCTGACATTCCAAAGCCACCAGTTGGATGGGCTTGGTCACTCAATCAATTTCGTACCTTCCGTTGGAACCTTACTGCTAGTGCTGCTAGGCCTAATCCTCAAGGATCCTACAAATATGGTGGCATTAACATTACCCGTACCATCACGCTGGCTAACACCGCTGAAAAGGTAGATGGAAAGCTTCGATATGCAATTAATGGAGTCTCATTTGTCGAGCCAACCACTCCGTTGAAACTTGCGGAATATTACGGCGTTGCAAACAAGATTTTCAAGTATGATAATATTCCAGATGAGCCACCGACTAAGATCTCAAAAGTAACTCTAGAACCTATTGTCCTCAACATGACACACAAAGCTTTATCGAAATTATATTTGAGAATAGTGAAACGGCCATTCAATCTTGGCACGTGGATGGCTATGCATTCTTCGCTGTGGCGTAAGTGTTGGAACCACTAATTAATCTAACTAATAAATATGGTCATTTGGTGTGAATAACAATAACTCGCTTTTATAATCATTGTTTGCAGCGTAGAGATAGGGAAATGGAGTCCAGAAAAGAGGATGAACTACAATCTTCTAGACGCGGTGAGCAGACACACCATTCAGGTATTCCCACATTCATGGGCTGCTATCCTTATATCACTCGACAACTGCGGAATGTGGAACATCAGGTCCGAGATATGGGACAGACATTACCTTGGACAACAAATTTACATTAGTCTTCTTTCCCCTAACCGTTCCGTGAGGGATGAGTACAACTTACCCGAGGACGTAATGACTTGCGGTGTCGTGGAAGGCATGCCAAGGCCTCCACCATTTAGCAGTTAAATTAAGCTGATTTATGTGCGTCCAATTTCGGTTCAAATACATATTGGGAGAGTGAGAGAGTATGAAAAAGTTTGAGTTCCAAACAGCGTTTGTAATTCCTAAAGCTGTCGTTTATATGAACTTTATTTATGGTCAAATAAATTATGTTTAAATGAGTGGAAAAAATTTTAGATCGCTGAAAATATAATTCATGTTTCATTACGTTATTAAATTTGCATAAAATTTACCAACAACCAGTTGATTTAGTGGAATGAGTCACTAGAATCTTTAAATAAGTTCAATGATTCAAATCCTGGCGTTTGTGGATGATCCAAATTGGATTGGGAGGATTACCCTTGTCGATTTTGAGTGAGCTTCATGGAAAATCAATCATAGGAGAAAAAAGATGAGTTAAATGCGAACGTTTTGATAACGATCTTTTTGCGAAAGACTATCAGTGATGGGCGGCGATTGGCTGCCAATAACGGTTAGAAAAGTTTAGTGCCCAAAATTGAACCTATTTAAAATTTAATGACAAATTTGATACACCCATAAAGTTCAGTGTCTAAAACAACATTGTTTTGGGCATCAATAGTTGCACCAAAACGATGTCATTTTGCCAATATTGTCACAATGATGGAAATATCCATCCATAGAATCATGTCATTAAAATTTAACCACTTGGTGATACAAATGAAGTCAACACTAAAGTATAATGTTATAATTAGAGAAATTAAAAGTTCAATGATATAAATGGTACACCACTTGAAGTTAAGTGGTATTGATGTAGTTTATCCCCACATTAATTAAAAAAAACGTCAACCCTGTGAGCTTTTAGAGCTCCGGGCTCAATTTTAAAATTTAGGTTATTTGCTTATTATTATTATTATTATTAAGTTAATGTGATTAAAAATAATATATGCCTAGTCACCCTTACATTCGTTGTTGCTCGAACCCATAACTTTTAAGAACATTAAAAAAATTAACTACTAAGGCAAATTGGTTTGTGCAGTTATTTGTTTCTTAAATAATTCTAATTTGATTTAATATAATCAATTGGTTGACACTAATGTATTTATGCACCATGTTAAAAAATTTAACTCTAATTAACATATAATTGTTAAGTTAATTAACTGATAATCAATTTAAAATAATAACTATAATTTAACATGAATAAATAGTCTATCGTAATATATTGAGTTAATATTTTTATGGAAATTTACTAATATAATGAAGCGTGAAGTATAATTTCATCAATTTAAAATTTTATTTCAACTCATTTGAACATAAATTATTTAACAATAAAATTCATATAAGCGACAGCTTTAGGAATTACAAACGCTGTTTGGAACTCAAACTTTTTCATACTCTCTCACTCTCCCAATATGTATTTGAACCGAAATTGGACGCACATAAATCAGCTTAATTTAACTGCTAAATGGTGGAGGCCTTGGCATGCCTTCCACGACACCGCAAGTCATTACGTCCTCGGGTAAGTTGTACTCATCCCTCACGGAACGGTTAGGGGAAAGAAGACTAATGTAAAGTTGTTGTCCAAGGTAATGTCTGTCCCATATCTCGGACCTGATGTTCCACATTCCGCAGTTGTCGAGTGATATAAGGATAGCAGCCCATGAATGTGGGAATACCTGAATGGTGTGTCTGCTCACCGCGTCTAGAAGATTGTAGTTCATCCTCTTTTCTGGACTCCATTTCCCTATCTCTACGCTGCAAACAATGATTATAAAAGCGAGTTATTGTTATTCACACCAAATGACCATATTTATTAGTTAGATTAATTAGTGGTTCCAACACTTACGCCACAGCGAAGAATGCATAGCCATCCACGTGCCAAGATTGAATGGCCGTTTCACTATTCTCAAATATAATTTCGATAAAGCTTTTGTGTGTCATGTTGAGGACAATAGGTTCTAGAGTTACTTTTGAGATCTTAGTCGGTGGCTCATCTGGAATATTATCATACTTGAAAATCTTGTTTGCAACGCCGTAATATTCCGCAAGTTTCAACGGAGTGGTTGGCTCGACAAATGAGACTCCATTAATTGCATATCGAAGCTTTCCATCTACCTTTTCAGCGGTGTTAGCCAGCGTGATGGTACGGGTAATGTTAATGCCACCATATTTGTAGGATCCTTGAGGATTAGGCCTAGCAGCACTAGCAGTAAGGTTCCAACGGAAGGTACGAAATTGATTGAGTGACCAAGCCCATCCAACTGGTGGCTTTGGAATGTCAGATGAGGGTCCTCCCTTACCATTCTGGTAGCGGATGATGCCCATGGCTGTAGCCTCTCGTTTGGTAAAACGAGTAGAGGCAACAACATAGTAATCCCTCGGTTCCTTGTCGGCTGTGACAAGCACAGTGTAGCATTGTCCCACATGCACATCAAGCGACTCATAGTCATTCTGCACTGTGTGAGAACCTTCCATCTCAACCAGCTTCATGGGGTGGCCTTGAAACCTGAAGTTGAGAGATGTCTTTAATCCAGCATTGCAAATCCTATATCTGTAGGTTTTTCCAGCTTCCATGGTGAAGAGAGGTTCGTCTTTACCATCACCTTTGGCCACTTTGCCATTAATGTGGACACCGTCAGCTCTACCGAGGTTGCGACCACTGTCAAGAATTTTTTTGAGAGCCACATGTCCTTTGTTAAACCAATCTCCAATCATTATGGTATAGTCATCAGCAGGTGGATCGTATGGGACAGGAATTTGAGGACGGCTGTTAATGCGAAGGCCACCAAAACCACCAACAGCCTTATGCATAGAGGTAACAGGATAGTACATGTAGCTGCCAATCTGATCCTTCACCTGGAAGTGATAAGTGTAATTCGTCCCAGGGGGGATGGGACAGTTAGTTCCCAAAACACCATCTTGCCAAGAGTTCTTCCTATGCTGGATACCGTGCCTGCAACACATCCCATTTCCGAAAATAGTTACTTCAATCATTCTTTATAATAATCAGATGGAAAACTACCCTTTGTTCATGAATCGTAAGTTACTTACCATGTAATAAGAAATGGCTCATCAAGGTTATTAAACACATTGACCACGACGTTGTTGTTGGTGGTAGAGTTTATATTTGGACCGGGGAATTCATTATTAATAAGAATACCTTTGACCGGGACTCCCAAGGGAGAAACAGTGCCGTATGTAACATGCCATTCGAAAAAAATATAAGGATCTCCACATTCAACCCTAAACATTGATTCAGCCCAGATGTATATTACTATCGATATTAACATTAACCGAGTCATCTCTTGCTATGCAATTTATTAACGCACAATTCTTTAACCTCTCCTAAAGGAAGATATTGCTTGAGTTGGTTTTAACTTACAGCTAAGACTGTTCTTTTATACAAGAAATTCACTAATTTCACTATCATTTCCCACCGTTCATTGTTTTTTTTCCGTACCCGTACATTGTGACCTTTTTTTGTTTATTACCCTACCATTTTTAGCACAAGTCTTGTTGAATCTTTCTCATTTGTTATAACAAGAAATTTGCATATCCATCATATAAACGGTATTATTATTTTTTGGAAAATGGTTATTTTTTATTATAGAAACATTCTTTTATGTATTTTTTTAATATAAATATTGATAAATGTTGTAAGTTTTTTATTAGGAAATGTATTAAATAGAAATTAAGTTAACTACCTCGGCGAAGCTATGCCTCGCCCCGGTGGCACTGCTACTCCTATTTTTTATTATTAAAAAACTAATGGATAAATCTTAAATTAAAGCTCTTAGTTTCAATTTATTTTGAATTTATCCATCTCATTTTCGATGATTAAGTATACTTTGTCCTCCTCATTTTTTGTACTTAATTATCCTTTGTTCCCTTTGAGTTGGAATCCTGACTTCGTGTCTCTAGTTAACTAGACTATGCTATGACAAGACCGTTAACTAAGTTGGAAGCTTTACATATAACTAAATATGATGCAGTTGGATGGAAAATAGAGAAACTAAATACAATTGAGAGATTAAAACATATGTAATTAAAGTATGATATACCTAAAATATATAACCAAAATATCGGATGAAAATGTGAAATTTACCACTTATGAGCTACGTGATTCTATATCGATTCTTGAGTATAGTTATTATACATAAATTATGTCAATAGTAAAAAATTATTCTTAATAGTAAAACACGTATGATTGCAATTTAATTAAAAATATACGGGAAAATAATTATTCATAAAAGCTGTTAGCACCATAATGAGTCCTACTAATATAAGATTATATACGCATAACATTAATAAGATTTTTTTTAAAATTTTAAAAATGAAACTATTTGTTTGACTTAAAATAATAGGAAATTCAAAAAGAAATTTATTTGTTTGAAGATTATAATGTATAACAACGAACCAACGATTCTAAACTACAAGCTACCATCTACGTAGTGATGTGGGAATGACAAACATCGGCAAAGCCATACAATTATTTTTAGGGGCAAAAGAAAATTATAAATTCTAAGAGTTAAATTATAACTTCATGATTATTTTAATTTATAAAATTAAAAATTAGAAAAAAAAAACAAATTAAAAATTATTATGTATAAATTTTAAAATATAATTTCACCATTATTTGTTTTAAATATTTACAAGTCGTTTAATCATTTAAGGAGGTCATTACCACTGTTAAGTCCAATGAGAATAAAAATATGAAAAAGAAAAGCTAACATAATATAAAATATTTTGTAAATTTTTTAAAGATATGAGATTAAAAACTGAAATTAAAAATTAAAATATTCAATAAATTTTAGGGTAAATTATCTATGTGGTCACCCTCTTATTACTTAATTTCTATTTTATCACCCAATTAATTTTTTTAAATCATATAAATGTTCCATTTTAATTTTGTTTTTGTCACATGTGGTTAAAAAATAATGTGACGCCAGTGTATCATAATAAGTTAATACCATGTCAATATTAAAAAATAATAAAATATATTACTTTAACATAATCGTTAATTTTTTAACGACGGGTGACTAAAACAAAACTAAACTACAACATTATGTAAGATTGTAAAAAACATAATGATAAAATTACTCTAGAACATTTACACAAACGATCACTTTGCCATGTTCTTTTTTGAAGTATTTTAACTCATAGCACTTCAGTTTTGGTCAAAACAGATCGTATTAGATAGAAACAATTAGTTAACTAATGATCAACACATATTACAAGCATAACATTTTTACATATATTCAATGCTAACAATATTTTTAAATATATTTAATTTTTGATCAAATAATACATATATGACCAAATAAGTAATTTACCCTAAAATTTAGGACGGGATAAAATCAGATATTTATAAATTAAAATCTTATCCACAAAGGAAAATCCACTGTAGCTCACCTCACCCGAGAAGTTCTACAGGACGACACCTTAATATAAGGCTAAAATAAGGTGTTATCGATTTTGTTATTATTTAAATAACAAAACTGGTAAAAAACTACTTAAAACATTATTATTTTTTACCTAAAACATCAATTTTTTTAACATTTCTGGTAAAAATATCCAACAATAACAAAATCGATAGAAAAATAATAAAATCGGTAGCACTTTACCAAATCCGATAAAACGTGTAATAACAAAATCAATAAAAATAATAATTTTTTCGATTATTTTTTACTAATTTTATTATTTAAATAATAACAAAATCAATAATTATTTTAAATTGTATATTAAAACTGTCAAGAGTATTTTTAACGGCGATTTTCCCGGTATATCACCGGTGATCGGTATTATTACCGATCTAACACCGGTCAGATTATATCTCTCGATCTAACACCCTTAGCAGGAAAACGCGCCCCCTGCACCGCGCTATATGCTGATTTGGCGCCACGTGGGTATAGCGCGCGCCCTGCCCCGCGATATACGGTGATCTGGCACCACGTGGGTATAGCGTGCCCCCTGATCCGCGTTATACCTGGATATCTGACACGTGGGGTACGCGGTGCAGGGGGCGCGCTATACCCCTAAATACCTAACCCTTCACGTCCCCATCTTCCCTAAATACTCTCATTCTTAATCACTTTTATCACACCAAATTCTCTCAAATTCTCTAAATTTCTCTCAAATACTCTCTTTTTAAGGTATATTTTATAATATTTTTACTATTATGTTTTTACTTTATTTAATATTTTACTAATATAATTCTTGTGCAGATATATAATGGAAGGCAGTCTACTTCGCTCGGATAGAAATCATATATCGCTACACTTTGCTGATACGGTAACATTTTAACGTTTTAATTTAATTTAAATTAGTAGTAATATTTAGTTGATTTATTTAATGCATGATTATTAGATTAAGAATTAAATATCTCGACACTTTGTTGATACGATAACATTTTAACGTTTTAATTTAATTTAAATTATTAGTAATAATTAGTTGATTCATTTAATGCATGATTATTAGATTAAGAATTAATTTTTGTAATTATTTATTTTTAGGAGAAAGACCGTGTATTAGATCATTTTATTAGGAATATTAAGTTAGTGATACCCAGCCGTGTCTTGTCGTATTTAGTATAGGTTGGATTCGGTTACATAGGTAGATATCAGGGTCACTGTAAAATAGAGCCAGACCTGATTTCTGCCTTAGTAGAGCGGTGGAGGCCGGAGACCCACACATTCCATCTTCCGTGCGGAGAGTGCACGATCACGCTTGAGGATGTTTCTATGCACCTGGGGCTTCCGGTGGATGGAGATGTGATATCGGGGATAGCTTCCGGTTCTTGGACTACTTTGTGTCGGGATAGTCTAGGACGTGTCCCGGAAAATTTTATCGAAGGTATGATACCGTTAAATTGGTTAGATGTCAATTTTCGGGAGTTGAGCACAGACACCTTTGAGGATGAGGTTAAGATGTATGCACGGGCATGTATACTGCAGCTGATAGGAGGGTTGCTGATGCCGGACAAATCGTGCAACCTAGTTCACTGCATGTGGTTGCGACATCTTAGCGACTTTCGTCTCGCCGGATCATTCAGTTGGGGGTCGACAGTTTTGGCTTTGTTGTACAGGGAGATGTGTGGAGCCACTGACTACAGGGGTAATGCTATCGGCAGATGTCTCCTTCTGCTGCAGTCTTGGGTATGGTATCGATTGCCCTTTTTATGTCCCGTTGTGAAGAACCCATTCGTATTTCCAATACTTCTGAGGTAATTATAAACCTGATTTTGTATATTAATAATTTTATACAACGTATAATAATTTTTCCCCTTGAATAGGTGGTCTACTGATAGGAAAAATCATCAGGAGCTACCTGATGATTTAGAAAAAATTAGGGTGCTAATCGATCAAAAGGCTGGCACACATGTATGAATTTTAATGTTTAAAAATCGATTTTAGATTATAGTTATATAATTAGATTATTATTTTGATAAAAATTATATATTATTTGTTTTAGTTTGAATGGGTGCCATATTCTACTGATGATGTGAGGGCGGTGATCCCACCTGAGTTGAGGGGTCCATCAGATGTTTGGATGGCGATAGTCCCTCTGATCTGTTATGCAACCGTCGAGTGGCACTCCACTGATTGCGTGCTCCGGCAATTTGGTTGTTTTCAACCAATTTTGGAAGCACCTCACAATATGGACGAGTTGCATAGCTTAGATAGACGCGGCAAGACAGATACAGATTGGCTGGTGAGGCATCATGAGTGGGTCGTGTTGTGGGAGGATCGACATCGACGCCTTCCACGTAGAGATCCCATTTTTACTGACTTCTTGATGTATGCTGAGGATTATTATGAGTGGTTCAACAGTAACAGGAAATCGTTTCTACTTCCCGAGGATGCACGAGGGCAGACCTTTCCACGACGTCGACAGAGACGTTCACCGACACAGCACCATCATCCCCCGACTCATGGACGGAGAGCAGGTGCTTCCGGTTCATCCTCAGCTGCACCAGCAGGACCTTTCCAGGAGCCACCGCAGCCATATATGATGTCGCCATCGCCTTTCCATTACCAGATGCCACCGTCGCCGCCTTCACCTGGTTTTATGACCCCGCTACCGTCACAGATGACCCCTCCTGGAGGCTATTATGGGTCTATGTTTGCATATCCGACTTGGGGTTCATATGCTGGATATTTGGCGGGTTCATTCTCATCACCCATGGCCGCAGCACAGACACCTCCTGTACAATTTTCACACTCAGCGATGTCTGGGTTTTCCCAGTTTTCGCATGCCGGTGGGATAGTCAGTCATACACCTCCAGGGTCCTTATTCTATGGAGGTGCATCATCGTCATCAGCTCCTCATCAACCTGATGTACCTGCTCAGGACGACGACGACGATGATGACGATGATGATGACAGCGAGGAGTCAGAACCAGTGATACAAAGAAATCCTCCTCGAGACCAACAGCCACCGTCATGCAAAACACATTTGCGACGTAGGCATCGATAGATTTTTTTTATTATATTTATATTTACTTTATTTTGTTTAATTGTAATTTTTTTATTTCTCATTTAATATTTACTTTATTTTGTTAAATTTGTTAGATTTTTTTAATATATTTTAGTTAATTTTGTTTATTACCATTTAATATCAGTTATTGTAATTTGGTTATCATTTACCATTTAATTCTTATTGTAAGTTTGTTGTATTTAAATATCAAATTGTTATTAGTTTGATAAAATTTAATAATTGTGTTCATTTTTTTAATCTTCATCAGCGATTATCGAATGACATTAACTTAAAGTAAATGCAAATTAAAATACAAGAATTATTATTTGATAAACAAATACATCATTTCCTCATCAATTGTTACTTGATGACAACAGAAGTGGACATGTTTTTCTAGTGTGTCCTGGGTTTCTACAATGGCCACATCTTCTGTCTTGCTAGATCTTTCTCGAATATCCATATCGCAATGAATTCGATTGGATTTTGGACGACCACACTCCCTCAATAAACTCGGATTTGGTACAATCGGAAGCTAATCTTGAACCTCATCAGGGTCTTTGTCATTACCTATGGAGGAAACTCAAATTCGTATACCTTAAAAACTTCAGATAGTATGTATACGGGATCCACAAAATGGTTATAGTCTTGACGTGTATGCGAGCAAGCTGTTATCACATGAGAGCATGGATACTTCAGAGCTTGAAAAAACCCGCAGTCGCACGCTCTGTCCCTTAGATTTACTCTTAACGACACAACTTCAATCCCTTGAAGAGGTCGGGGCAACTCTGTGAAACGAAACATTTCATGCCTTCTAGAGAAGCTTGTTACAGACATTCCATTTGATGCAGCAATTTTTTTATGTAGATCTGTAACTAATCTAGGGTGATAGACATGACCGCCTTGCATCCAGGTTTGAGCTTGTTCCCCGAGCTTCGCAAAAAGCGCCCCCAAACGAAAATATGTAGTTTTTACCAAATCCGCTACAGGTAAGTGACGTGCACCCTTTAAGGTTGAATTGATTGCCTCAGCCAAGTTGGTCGTCATGTGTCCATATTGATATCCACCATCATTTGTGTTCGTCCACATTTCTTTATCGATTAGACTGATGTATTCGTAACCTTCCTCGTTCTTCGCCCGCAAATCTTGAAGCATTGATTCAAACGTTCGAGAAAGTAGTTCGTAACATGATCAAAAAATGTATAACTTACTAACTTGCTTTCTTTGCAAAATTAAAATGATCAAAATGTATAACTTACTAACTTGTTTTCACTTACCCATGCGCACAATTAATTGACGCTCATCATTCTTCTTGTACCTTCCATGATAGTTCGCAGCAATGTGTCGGAGACAATACCTATGTTGGACAAAGGGTGGTTGCCACATTGGACCCAAAGACTCCATTGCTGCTTTGATCCCAGCTCCGCGATCTGAAATGACACAAATTTTTTCCCTCGTGATAACATGTGCACGTAAATTTCGGAGAAAAAAACCCCAAGAATTTGTATATTCTCCTTCGACAAGAGCAAAAGCAACTGGAAGAATGTTGCGATTGCCATCTTGGACAACCGCCAATAATAAAACTTGCTTGTGTTTTCCATACAAGAAAGTCTCGTCGATCTGGACCACAAGCTTGCAGTATTTGGCAGCATTAACGCACTGTGGGTAACTCCAAAAAACCCGGTATAATTGGCATCGATCGCGAAGAACTCGATCATTATGGTATGCATAGGAGGTTTCGAAGTCCACAATTATCCCATGATTCAACGTCCACACCAGCCTAAACCAACCTGGAAGTTCGTTGTAAGATGCATCCCATTTGCCATGAAGTTTTACAATGGCATTTTATTTTGCCAACCAAGCTTTTTTATAGGAGACGGTGTACTCATAATGCGATTGTATAGCTGAAATCAACACTGCAACAGCTATATGAGAGCTTGCTTTTACCATGGGCATGATGGCTTGACATATCACTTCAGAGTCCAAGTTCGGATGATCTTGGCTGACACCTCCAGCACAACATGTGTGAGGACCGTTGTATACTGTTAGTTCCATATGTTGTTTTTCCTCTTCATTCTCGATACGCGAACCATCCAATTGCATCCGTTTTCGCGTCGGGCATAGTAGTATACATATTTTTCGGTTGTCGATCGGTTGACTCTGGACTGAACAGAATTACGGATATTGTAATTTTTGATAGCCATCATCGCTTCTTCTTTGCCTGAAAACTCCATGCCTAAAGATAACTCACCATCATTTATTGATGAGTAATATCCATAGTCACCGAGATGAAGCATATCCGTAAATTCTGGCCCGTACATTGCACCATAATCAGCTTTATACATGTGTGCAGGAGGGTCAGTTTGTGCCACATTTCCTGGAACTTCATCATCATCGGAGTTGAATTGTGGTGATTCTGGGTGAACGAATAGTCCAGTCTCAGCACCATCCGCACCAGGCTCACGAAGCGGTTCTTCTGGTGGAGATGATGGTTCCTCCATGCTCTCCACATTTAGGTCGAAGAACCTACTACTTGCACGCCTTCCCCTTGAACTGGAAGGCATATCGACATTGAGATCGAAAAAGCTCGCAGTCGAATGCCTCCCCCTGGAGCTTGAAGCCATCGTGTCAAATGGAAACTGCACAGATGGTTGCGTCGATGGCATCTCCATATTAAGGTCAAAGGGATTTGCAGATGAATGCCTTCCCCTTGAACTGGATGCGGTGTTGCCATACGTATTGTTCATGGACCCACCTCGGTACATATCGTAAGGAGTTGCGGATGAATGTCTCCCCATTATGACATTAAAATCATTACACATTATTGTAGTCGGGCTGTCAACTTGATCAACTTGTTCAGCCAGCCCATAGTGTGAGCTTAAAGATTGACTCCGAACAGCACGCACTTGAACAAAATGTGCATACATCTCAATAGCGGCGTCTGAATAATTACTTTGAACTTCAACCATCATTTGAACATCATCATTGTTCGAAAGTTCGGACGCTGTATAAGTTAATGGCAACAATGATGTTGGAAATCTGTACTGCAACGACGACATTCTTTTGTTACTTCCAACATGAATCTTCCTCGAAATCTTCGTTATTAGCTCCTCAAGAGTTATGTTTCTCTTGAATGATATTTTAACACGCTCATTTGATACGAAAATAAAGCCGGTTTCATCTTCTCGAATTTCACCATCATAATAAACAATAGCTGAAAATCGCCTCATTCTTTGAGTTTAAAAGTGCGGTAATATTATATCTGCAAAAAAAATAACTTAAACAAACCTGATTAAATACATTATATATGAACGAAAATATAACACAATCAATTTTTTACACATCAACGTAAATAATTTAAATAATATAATTTTATATTATTACCTGCACCGCAAAACTATTTCGACGTATGCTCCCGCTTTTCAATTTTACAAACATAAAAATTAATTGAAAATAATTAGTATAATATTTTTTCAAATAATGATAATAAACAATAAGTATAATTAAAAAATTATAACAAAATTACATTATAACGAAAAATCACACGAGCTTCTAAATCAAATTTGAGAATATTACGAGAATTATTACTCATTGAGGAATTGTTGTATTAATTTATAAGAGATGAGAGATGCGAGGAGATGTGAGCCGAATGAGTGTATTTATAAGCATATAAAGCGCGATACCTGCACCGTGCTATATTATAAAAGATATAGCGCGGATCAGGGACCGCGTTAAATATAATTTTGGTACGGCGTATAGCGCGGCCCCTGATTCACGCTATACCCCTATGTGACGTATAGTGCGTATTAGGGGGCGCTATACCCCACGTGTACCCAGTCAGTGTATAGCGCGGTTCAGTGGCACTCCACGTGGCGTCAAATCAGCATATAGTGCGGTGTAAGGGACGCGTTTTCATGCTAAAGGTGTTAGATCGAGAAATATAATCTGACCGGTGTTAAATCGATAATAATACCGATCACTGGTAATATACCGAAAAAATGGCCTATTTTTAACCCCCACCCAGCTGCCAGCCAATCAATTAATTTGATTACATTGATTCTTTCTATAATTATTATTATTATTTTTAATTGTCAAGACTAGTCAAGCGTCACAGTCGTGAGTGGTGCAGCCAGCCAGAAACAGAAAGCATGGGCCCCAAGTAAAGCTGCCGGACGCCAAGATATCATCAATTCCCATTTGTTTAAAAGCCAAGAAAAATACTAAAAAGGCAGAAAAATCGATGCTTTGTTGTATGTTATCTTCTCAGACTTGAATCCATCAGCGTTCTCTGTGTCCATTCGATTTCCCGTAAGAAATTTTTTTCAGCTCAGATCCTTCGTCTTTGATCATCTAACCCTTTAGGTGAAAGATGAGAGAAGTTATAAGCATTCATATAGGCCAAGCTGGGATTCAGGTTGGGAATTCCTGCTGGGAACTCTACTGTCTTGAACATGAAATCCAACCCGATGGAATGATGCCCAGGTGTATTTTTTCTTCTCTTTTTGTTATCAAAATTGAATACCCATTTTTAACCTAACAAAAAAGCACTGATTTTGAACCTGGAAAGGAGTAACACTTGTTTTCCTGTTTGATTACAGCGACACCTCTGTGGGTGTGGCACATGATGCTTTCAACACTTTCTTCAGCGAAACGGGATCAGGGAAACATGTGCCTAGAGCCTTGTTTGTGGATCTGGAACCCACTGTGATCGATGAAGTTAGGACTGGTCATTACCGCCAGCTTTTCCACCCTGAACAGCTTATTTCTGGCAAGGAAGATGCTGCCAACAACTTCGCCAGAGGCCACTATACAAGTACTAAACACCATCTCAGTCTATCCGCCTAGTCTCTTTTGGCATCTTTAACTTTTTGGTTGGTTTAAACTGTTGTGCTTGTATTTTGTAGTTGGGAAGGAAATTGTCGATCTCTGCCTTGACCGTGTTCGGAAGTTAGCTGATAATTGCACTGGTTTACAAGGTTTTCTGGTGTTTAATGCTGTTGGTGGTGGAACTGGTTCTGGTCTAGGGTCTTTGTTATTAGAACGCTTATCAGTAGATTATGGAAAGAAGTCGAAGCTTGGGTTTACCATCTATCCTTCACCTCAGGTAACTAATGGATGATGTTTTGCTTTTGAAACCTTTTATGTAATAGCAATTTTGTATATCGAGAATACTTATTTGTTAAACTTGCAGGTCTCGACGGCAGTTGTGGAGCCTTACAACAGTGTTCTGTCCACTCACTCCCTTCTCGAGCACACAGATGTGACTGTGCTATTGGACAATGAAGCAATTTATGACATATGCCGCAGGTCACTTGATATCGAGAGGCCGACTTACACCAACTTGAACCGTTTGATATCTCAAATCATATCGTCGTTGACGACTTCCTTGAGGTTCGATGGAGCCATTAACGTGGACATTACGGAGTTCCAAACCAATCTGGTTCCGTACCCTCGTATCCATTTCATGCTCTCTTCGTATGCACCTGTTATCTCAGCCGCAAAAGCCTACCACGAGCAATTATCGGTTCCTGAGATCACTAATGCTGTGTTTGAGCCCGCAAGCATGATGGCAAAGTGTGATCCTAGGCATGGGAAGTACATGGCATGCTGCCTCATGTATCGAGGAGATGTTGTCCCCAAGGATGTTAATGCTGCTGTTGCTACTATCAAAACGAAGAGGACCGTGCAGTTTGTTGACTGGTAAGAAAATTTTGTATCAGTTCACTAGCTAGGCAATTTGGTTTGGTAGTGAACTGATATGAGTGCTTTAAGATTGGTTTATCTGAACCAGAATTTGGTTTTTTGAAGTTTATTCATACATCCTCGTATGCATTAGGATAGGCTCATTAATGCAAGCATATGTAAAAGTCTTTTTTGTTTGGCTGTACAGGTGCCCAACAGGCTTCAAATGCGGCATTAACTATCAGCCTCCAACTGTTGTACCTGGAGGCGATCTTGCTAAGGTGCAGCGAGCTGTTTGCATGATAAGCAATAACACAGCAGTGGCCGAGGTGTTTGCACGCATTGACCACAAGTTCGATCTCATGTATGCAAAGAGAGCTTTCGTGCACTGGTATGTTGGTGAGGGCATGGAAGAAGGTGAGTTCTCCGAAGCCCGTGAGGATCTGGCTGCTCTGGAAAAAGATTACGAAGAAGTTGGTGCTGAAGGGGTTGATGATGAAGAGGATGGTGAAGACTATTAATGCTCTTATGCAAACAATATTTACTTCAAAGATCGGTTCAGTGTCCGAGGGTATTCCTACCTCCCTTTCACGTGTCCTTCCCTATCGATTTATCTTGTGTGGCACTGCCTTCCTGTGTGTCAAATGTTATTTTGTTGAATGTTGTCTTCTTTGTTATCAAGAATTTGCCTATGGCCTTCTGTATGATACCAATGAAGTAATTTTAAAGTTGTGTTAACTCTTCAATGTTATTTTGTCATAAATGTTGTCTTTTATTTATGAAAGTTGTTTCATAAGCAATAATTGCTTTATAATCTGTCATTCTGTCTGTCTATATTTCATGAGCAATAAATTGCCTTGCATCTATCATACTGCCTTCTTGATTAGTACTGTCATATTTATGGCTGCTGTAAAACTGTCTAATGGTACCTAAAATCAACTTATTAGAGTCGGCACTTGTTATGAGAGTGAATTGTCACTTGAAGCGGGGAGAGTAAGAGAAATTGGTATGGGGACCATAACTGAAACAGTAATAATATTCATTTCAAGCAGTGAAAATTGTTGTTTCAATTTCTTCCTAAAGCAACACTAGAAACAGACAACCTTAAGTTACTATCTTTCATGGTGGAAAGATGGAATCAGCTTTTTGGAAGAACAAGTGGCAAAGTGTAGGAAGATCCCAAATAGCATCATTTGGATCAAATTCATTCTGAAGGTACTCATTAACCCCATTCATTGCATATAAAGTTGCTGATATCTGTCTTTCTACCTTCAAGCGCTCAAATTCTTGAACCTCCTGATCAATTCCTTGAGAAAATAGACCAGCATCTTGTGGAAACTCCAGTCCTTGGCTAAATGGAATCTGATCAATCCCTGTGGTGATAGGCCAGTCTTGACCGAACTGCGATGGGGCCGGTTCATGTTCACTGACGAAATTGCTCAACTCCGGCCTATACGTGCCATCAAACATCTGGATCGAATTACATGTAAAACCATCATCCCCGGTGCTGGATACAAAGCTATCAGTGCTACCAGCATGATTGATGGTGCCATTACTGCTAACAACAGTACTTGCTTTAATGGTGATTTTGCTGGAGTTGGTATTATTACAAGTCCCTTGCCTTAAACTCTTCTTATGATCAAGCAGGTTCCTAATCTTTAATGAGAGACGAGAATCGGTTGGAACATGAGTTGCAAAATTGGTCCGCGTATTTGAACCCCGGAGAAGGCAAGCAGCTTCATCATAAGCTCTGGCGGCTTCCTCGGGTGTCTCGAACGTCCCAAGCCACATTCTTATCTTCTGTGTCGTGTCTTTGATCTCGGCAACCCATTTCCCCGAAGGCCGCTGCCGTACACCGACGAACTTATTCCTCCTACTGGCTGCTGCAACTCTCTCTTTCAATTTGCCCTTTTGTTGACTTTGGACTTGGTGTTGCTCCATTGGAGAGAATGCTTTTGGAGTGGAACACACACAGAGAGAGAGAGAGAGGGGTTTGGTTTTTATATTAAGGGGTTTGAACTTTGAAGTGGTGGGAGGGTTGTCTGACATTGTTGTCAGCATGTTGGGGTTGTTGCAATTTGTTCCATTGTTAGAAACTTATATCTCAAAGTTAAGTTGACCAAATCATGTTATATGATATGACTATGAGGATTTTGTGGAGGCTTGACACTTGGGAGAAAGTTGGCTCCCACTAAAACAGAATAGAGCCTTTGGAAGGATCCAAAAGGGAAGAAACAAAACAGAGTGGAATCTCAAGCAGGTTGAATTAGAAAACATGCCAATATTATGATTACAATGTAACGGTATTTTAATTTTACTCTTCGTACTAGTATTTAAACAGCTGAATAAAACATGAGTTTTTTTATATTTAAAAAAATGAGTAAATTTAATAAAACAATTATTTGCATAATCAACGACTAATCCTTTGATTTTAGGTTTAATCCTTACTGGCCTATATATGAGAAATTAAATGACATTCCATTATTAACCATTAATAATGCATAAGTTATTAAATTTAAATCTTGTATTCTATTTTGATTAATTTTAATGTAATATATTTTTAAACTTTTGATATTTCGATTCTAAACCACAGGATTTAAGCACAAGAATCCGTATAAATAAAGAAGTTAAAGAGAAAAGAAAATGGCAAAGGTAAACATGAGCAAACCCACAACCCAATATATACATATATTTTTTTAATGATCAAAATTGCAAACATAATGAAAGAACTACAAATCCAAATCGGGAAACATTTGTAAAACTGAAACGACGAAATACACGAGACCAGAACTGCTTCAAAAACAGTCTTCTCGAACCTCATGCTACCCACAAAAGTACTCACGAACCACACCAAATTATCACTCGCTTCTTTTTTCCAGACTCAATACCCTGTACCCATATTATAAATAGATACCATATACTATACACATTCCATAATTAAATAAAATAAATAGCGGGAAGAGTTCATTTCAATCACCGATAACTTTTCACCCTCATCGCTGCCTTGGGAATAAAAACATCACGCCAAAACGGAAGGGAAAAGAATTTGTATAATAATATGGTTCACATGCAAGACAGATGCCTGTCGAAGCCTATGTACTTGAACTACGCGGAGAGGATGGATTGCAAAGCGAGCTGTTGCTGCGGCTGCAAAGATGACCAAGTTGAGACCAATGCTTCCGGTGGCAAAGTCTGCTCTGCTGAAGCTGCTTCAGTAGATTCGCCATCCGACTTGCCGTTTGTTCTGTGGCTAAATCCTTACCACATAAAACCTACAATATAGTATATAGTTCATCAAATGCACCCCAAACACCGAACTACAAGATAAATATGAACAGATAGGTAGCATAACAGAAAATTTTCAATTTTTAGTGCACTGTTGTTCGAGCAAGCAATTCAAATAATGGCCTTCAGGATTTTGATAAAGCAACTTAATTTTTACCTCAGCAAATACCGCAACAATCTTAGGAAGGGAATTATGGTTGGGACCCAAAACTTCATTATCGGACCTGATCACACATACATTGTCAAATAATGGACAGTGAGAGGATATTGTGGCCAAAAACTGAACTTCTTAAACGAGATCAGCACGGTTAGAAGCTGATTTTACCTCTCAACCATTGAACAAAGTTGTTCATGAACGACTTTGGCTTCAATCAGATCACCTTTTACTGGAAAGCAGTATAACCATGCAGGAACAACCTACCAAATACAAAGGGTAGTATGTTCAAGGCAAACCAACATTCGGAAAACAGAAATGAAGCGTCAAAATAAAGCTATGACATAAGCAACCAGTTTCTTTTGTGAAAAGGCAAAGCAGATTGAAAAGTGTAAAAACAGAACTACTGAAATTGATCTGAAGTTGTAGAATATCTATATGTAATAGTAACAGAGATGATCCACTAGCAAACCTCACCAGTTAAGCTCATGGGTTTCTTTCATTGGTTTGTCTGGATTCAGTTTACTCGTGAGATAAAAAAAAGTTTATCGTGCATGTTGAGTAATGCTTCAACAAAATATAATTTACTTTTCATGTAATCTAACGAAAAGAGGGGAGATAATCTACAAGATAAACCTCTGTAATTTAAATATCACAATTCACAAGAGGAGAAAAGAGGGGAGAAAGAATGTGATTATCAATTTCACCAAGATTCTCCTCTACCCTAACTAGAATATCAGATAATTCTGCTATAGTTTCAAGCACAAAGATAGTGAACAGTGTACGAACCCAAACGGGCACTATTTCTATTTTTGTGCTTATGGCTCATAGTACTGGTCTTAACAAGATGCATTTGAAGACGTCAAACAATAGCTCATAAATGTGTATTTGTTTTAATGCACACAACAGATATTCATTTCATATCAAAAGGTCTAATTAACTTGGAAAGCTAATTTTATTGCCTGCAATACCTGAGTTGCATCAATACTGTTGGGGTGGAGCAGACATATTTTTCCCAAACAGTGTTATCATAAGCCATAACGTTTTCAGGTAGCAAAGCATTTGGATGTCCTATTACAGCATTTAACCTTGATAAAGCCTCTGGAAGAAGTCACAAATAATATGTTATTCTTACAAGAAATAACCACTTTATAGACAATCATGCAAAAATTTACCTCCAATCATTGGCTTAAATACAGGTCCACCAAATTCTGCATAAACGCCAAGTCCATATACTGCTGCCTGAACATAAAATCCTAAAATTTATTACAATCTCAACAATCTATGGTGCTTTGAATGCCAGAACTAGAAAATACAGACTTGTCAATCATCTGGGTTCTCATCATTGCAAGCCTCCAACATGAAAGGAAGATATGTGTCATAATATCTGTTTCAAAAACATTACAGCAATTACATCAAATGATACTCTATGATAATAATTAACATAGGAAAATTAGGCAACCTACTTTAGAGCTGCTTCGCGACACTGTTCCACAACATCATCAAAAATACAAATTGCAACTCTTCTTTCTTCAGCCGTCTTATCTTTACCCTGTATTTTAAACAAACAGAGAGAGAAATATATATGAGCATACTTCAGGAAAGAACATTTTCATTCTGGATGTTCCTTGACAACTGATTTTGGAAACAAAGACAACTTTCTCAGAACTTACCCACATAGGTGTAAGATATGAAGATAGATCATCAAAGAAAGGCAAGAAAGAGGCTTTAAACGTTTTGATCAAAGTTCCCAATATTTCACCCACCTGGAAGAAAAATGCTCGTTAAGGCAAGAAATAGGAGGCTTTAATGGATCAGGACAGGAAAAAGATCATATAAAAAAATATTGTTCAGCATTATGTGATGTATCAATCAGAGATTTTATTTTAAGACTTACTTGGTAAAAAACTTCTCCTCTTGTTCATTTTCCTCTTTAATCAACTCCCCCTCCTCAGCATCAAAGTCCCCAGCTAATATTAAAATCCTCATCCACAATATATCAACTAAAAGACATTGGGAATAAAATACAAATGTCATGAACGGAACATTGAAATACTTTTTCGAGAACTTAATCCCATATATCAACTAAAAGAAGAAAAAAACAAGAGATCAGAAACAGCCGAGGAGAATACTAGGGAGCAGTTTTTAACAGACACAACAGGTTTAATTCAGTAATTAGTTCAAATTATTAGCTAATATTAAGATGACATTAAGTTCAAGTATGCATTCTAGTTTTTTTATTATTTTTATTTAAATATTTCTGCTTCTAACCATCTGTTGCCCCATAAAATTCATCCAAAGCAGAATAATTTCAAAACAGGTAAGGGTGAGCAGAGCAGACAATACAAAATTAACTTCATTTGAAAAAAAGTATAAACCTGTACACATTCGCTCAATGCATCTAGCATGCTTGGGCATATCTCCATATCAGGTTCCTGCGAGAATATAGTAATTTAAGTTTTCATCTACGAAAAAAAAACAGATCAATAAAGCAAGCTTCAGTGCATGAATACTCTTAAGAAACAATAAGAACCTTATGTAATGCCTCCACTAGAGCCGGAATAATGTAATCAGACAATTGTTTTATATAGGTCTCATTACTCCCTTAACGGAACTATTACACGTAGCATTTTTTATGAATAAATTATATCATTCATCACTCAACTATATTCTCACTCCTATTTTAGTCACTAAAGTTTAAAAAAAATCAATTTAATTAGACAAATTTCAAATTTTTTTCTATTTTAATCACTCTAATTTAATTTATTAATATTTTTATGATACGACATTTTTATTATTATTTTATTAATATATAAATAAAACAAAAAAAAATAAATTTAAAATTATAATCAAACCTAAAAATTATACCCTAAACCCTAAATCACAAACCCCTTATATATTAATAAAACAAGTTAGAGTGATTAAAATAAGTTTAATTTGAAAGTTAAGTGATTAAATTAAAAAAATTAAACTTTAGTGACCAAAATAAAAGTGAGAAGATAATTGAGTGATGAATGATGCAATTTACTCATTAAAATATCACGTACAAAAGTTTTGGTGGGGTACCAAAATAAAACCTAAACTAAATGTTGAATATGGTTTAAAAAAAATTAAAGTGTTAACACAGAATAAAAGTAATAATTTAAGTACCAAAATAAATTTGAATTTATTAGATAAGAACAAAGAGTTTTATGTGAAATAAATTAAATTTTAAAAATAAATTTATGAGATTTTTTTTTATTTAGAAATTGATTTGATTTGATTCTAAATATATTTTATATGTGATAAATTATATCATATCTTATCTAACTTTAAGGTTAATATTTATTATATCGTTAAATTAAAATTAATATTAAATTTTTAATTTAATATAACGTCAATAGTGTATCGTTGAAATTCAAACGACGTTATAGTATGAACAACCTTAATATATTCGGGTTTAACAATCGGGTCCTCAGGCTCTTTTAAAATAAAATTTAAAATTATCATTTCTCAATCACTATTATCATCTTTCCGATAATTAATAATATCAATTAATTTATTTTTCTTTGTATCGGTTTAAACTTATAGAAATGAAATGAAAAATGTGATTTGACATCCCACAACAATCACTTTAAACTAAAAAAATCATTTACTCCTTTTACAGTCGTTTTCGTACATGGTTTTGGAGTAAACAAGTCTGCATAATTGAAAATTTTATGCTCATAGAAAACAAGTTCTGTGTACATCGATTGCCAAAACTCCTCAATATTCTTGTATGTTTTGTGTTTTCATATCATGCATGTGGTTGTGGATATCTCTTTTGGGCTTTTGATCATGATGCCCTTCAAAATGGTGGAATTCGTGGTGTAATCATGCCAGAAATCAAGTCAGTATTGCTGGAAAGTATAGCTGATATTGTTTTCTTTCTGTTCCAAGTCCCGTCCTGCTTGCTACCAAAATAAATTTGTTCCGTGATAATTTTGCTCTTCATGCAAATGGATTAGGAGATGAGATTGTAACAGATAATACTGCTTTGAGAGATTGTTTGCATGTCTGAGAGTCTATCAATTATTCATTGTTTCAAAGGATTCCTTTCAGTAACTTGCTTCCATATTTGCAAACTTATTTGTCAATTCCTGTGGTTCCTTGCTTATTACGGTAATCAGTGTAGGAAATATTCTTGTTCTAGCAAAATCACATAGGGTATATGCTATTGATCTTATCGGCTACGGACACTCGGACAAACTAAGTCCTAGGGAGGTTGGAGAAACATTTTATACATTTGGTTTGAGACTCGGGCATCCGAACTGAAAGATTTTTGTACCAGTGGGCAAACTTTTCTTCAGATCCGTGGCTGCACTGGAGTCGGTTAGAAGTATTCTTTGCCATGTAATCTTTTATGGTGGCTTTTGTAAGAACTGAATTAATCTTTACATATGTGCTGGCTGAGTTAGCTTGTCTAGATATTGAGGATTGAACATCTGAACTTAGCCCTACAACCAAGGCTTGGAATCACAAGTTGGATGTTTTTACGTACATTTTGCTGCATAGCTAGTGATTGGTAATTGCTTCTGGCATTGCATTACAGATTATCCTTCATCCAGGACTCGAGAGCCTGGTGTTGTTGATGCTTTACTCGAGTTCATATGCTACTAGGACGACCCTCTGCCCTAGGAATTACTGCTGCGGGTGAAAGTGAGTTTCTTAAACTTATTTCTCCTCCATTTTCTTCATTCCCTTCCATTCCAATATTACTTCGATATTTGCAGTGCCCTGTTTTGATAGCATGGGGTGACAAGGATCCATGGGAAAGCATCGAACTTGGAAGAGCCTACGGAATTTCGAAACGTAGAAGACGTTTTCATTCTCCCTAATGTTGGCCACTGCCCTCAGGCTGCTCTCTCTCTCTCTCTCGCACACACATACACAAAAATTTCCATTTTTGATCCACTGTACACAATTTGAAACTTACAACCAAAATTCCTAGAATTATAAGTCATCTTATGAGACATGAATAAAAAAATGTGTACATGGGATGTCGTTTCAGAAAACAATGATAAAGAAGGCCTATATCATCTTTTCTATTCACAGCAAAGGGAACTAACTAAGAATGTACTCTCTGCCTGTTGTATGTTAGCTTCAAGTGTTCCTTTTAAAATAAGGAAGGACTGCACTCTGGTATGGATGCTTCTCTGCAATATTATTTTTTCGTCCCGAGTGCACGGATAAACTTAGGGTTTTTCATTTCCTCAGTAGTTAGCTCTCAGGCTACTAGCGTCTAGTACTTTGAGACATTTTCAGTTGCGGCCAAATCCGGAATTGGAGTTTCAAGAGGTTGTTCTTCGTACAACCAATCTGGGACTGGACTGGCTGCTCCTTTAGTCCACTTGCATGACAACTGCTTCCCGAATTGAAATGATATCACTCCTCTTTTGGAGTTTGTTTTATCAGGAAGGCCTTCCACCTCATTATCTGCCTGATTTTCATCAATCTTTTGTTCTATTGGAATAGTTGAATACTGTTCTGAGGCACTGGCTTCCTCCTCCATCACATAACCATCCTCCAATTGCAACTATGCACACCAGCTCCATCGACGAGACGACGATTGTTACTATTTGACATCTCAAGGTTAGTCAGTTTTCAGCAAAGGCTAAGCCGCCTATTTGACTTGGGGAGTTCAAGGCTGCACTAGCTTCTTGTTCCTCCGAATCAAGTACCATATCGGTCGAGTCTGTGACATTGATCTCTTCAACCTCAAAGTTAAAGTCTTCCACCGATGAGTTGCATCTGTGATGATTACTGATTATTTGTTTGCCAACCAAGTTTCCTTCCTCATCCACTGGAGTCATCTGAATGTAACAAAAGAAGCATCGTCAGCAATCCTCAGCATATTCTTTTCATTTGCAAAAAAAAAAAAATCATGCACATGCACTTTTTTTACCTTGACATTAGTAAGATCTACATTGTTCTCCCTTAGAAATGAAACGAAGTCATTAAAATTTTCTTCTAAAGGACGATAGTGACCACTGTGAGGCCAAACTGCCTGTTGAACAAAGTAACAGCAAAGCTTAGATATAGATATATTTTAAGAAAACCGGAACCAAGCAACCGGTAACAGCTCAATGATATTATGCATAGCTATACCTTGAGGACACCATTGTCAACAACTAATCTTCCGGCAGCAATAGTGGCACCTCCGGCCAAGAAGCTAGAATGTTGAAATGTACCCTTTTTCTTCACGCCAACATACAAGATCTTCGATGCGCTGAGGACAAAAATCCACTTAGCATCACCCGTTTCTTCGATCGAATGGAGAAGCTTCCCTGCTTGCTTGTATACGAGCTTTCCGTCTACCACAATAACTTCATAAGGCTTCCTTTCTATCTGTATAGCAGATGATTATTTGAGTAACGTTTTGAATGCAAATCCAGATGAACTTAGGCAGAAGAAACAGATATAAAGACCCACCGGACCCAGATATTTGATGCATTGCTGTTGAAGCTTTGATCTCGGACATTTTTTCTATATTTACTTCTTTCCCTTCCCCAATGTCCAGCCTGCATTTTCAAAACAAGTTCATCAAATTCTTCAACTTTGAATCAAAATATCTTCCTAGTGAACCAAAAAAAAAACACTCAATCAAAGAAAATTACCAGTAAAAAAAGGGTTCTTGACTCTCTGAGAATGGAGCCATTGTTTATAATAGAAGTGTAAATTGTGTCCAAGTCTAGGACGAAAGTGAGTGTTTACAGCATGCATGAAACATGCATCCAGTGAAAGTTTTTATTATATCATAAAAATATACATTAACTTATCTGTCATTGGAAATTATTATAACTTAATTACATGCAAAAATTATGTGTTGCCACTTATTATTGGAGGATTGTGCATGTATTCTAAGTTTGAATACTTTTATTTATGAAATTCAATTATATCGAAAGCTGCTTAAATAGTGTAATGTGTTTTTTCGTCATTAAGATTTAAATTTGAACCAAATTTAAAGATCGTATTATAAAATAATTATAAAAATATAATAATTATTTAATATTTTAAACATGTTTAATAATATCCATCAAATCTTTTTAATGAAAAAATTTGAAATTTTGTTAGATAAATAAACACTTATTAATACTTCAATGGAGAATAATTTTAATAATTTTATCTTATTTTTATTTATTTAAATTATATTATTATTTAACATTTTCATTTATCGAATAATTTTCTCACTTAATCATCAACAAATTTAATTAATTTTATGTGATTTTACATGCGTCGCACATATGACTTTGATGAGTGAGTCTCCCAGTAGAGATTTATACATACACAATGACTAGACATTGCTTAAACAATATCAATTTGCTTACCACTTAAATCAACCCATGTTGATTTAAAATCTTTTAATTTTAAAACATATTATATAAAAATATCTAGAAAAATGAGGTGGCCTTCCATTATATTTCCCACAAGCTCAACCTACCTTTTCCAGATTAACTGTTTAAACAATCTTCCAACTACTTGTACATGATTTTTTTAACATAGTACTATCCGTTAAACATTTTTTAATTAATTTTAAAGTAACCATAGATTATAAAATAATAATAATGCCAAATAAATGTACATTTATAATTTGAAAACAAAGTGTGTACATAATGTGAGTGCATGCCAGCACAAACATACATACATATATATATATATATATATATATATATATATATAATGTTTGAACATCAAAGATCTTAGATCTTAGACCAGGGAATTCAACATTTGTCACCCCAAACTGTAAACATAATTGTTTTGACAACGTGTCCTATAATTCTCAAAACAAGTTATAATTTTATCCTAATTTATAAAGATTATTAGAATTTATCCAAATTTTATATTTGAGATTGAAAAGCAAATATGTTAGGTAATTAGGCCGGGGCCTAAGACTGTGCCCCCGTGGTCCAATTTCCATATCTACCTTTTAGAGATTATTATAGGTAAAATATGTATTTAATCACTCAATTATTTTTTAGTTTTGTATTAGTCATAAAATTATTTTCTTTTTAAATTATAATTAAAGTTATGTTTTTGTTTTATTTTGATTATTTATCGTTAAAAATAAATATAATTGATGACATGATAAGTTTTTGTTTTTTTAGTGATGATTTGACATTAACTTTTGATGATATGTTAGTATCACTATTAAATGATTTTAAAAAAGAAATAGTAAAATGATTAAAACAAAATTACGGAGATAATTGTATGACTAAATATTGAGTTTACCCTATATTATATTTAAGAAGTTGGAAATAAACAATGTTAGAAAATCGCGAGAGAAATCCGGACAGACGAAATACAACTGTCATTTTTGGGGATCTCCATGCAAACCAGATTAAGATTGGGTACCTGCACCGTACAAGATGTCGATGTTTACGTGTCATCGCTGAATTCGACCACGTCGTGTTGTCCGGTGTAAGAGATACAGACCTAACTAAGACCTTATGCTTCTGGTTTCTGCAAAAAATGGCTAATCATTAGGTGATGAACTGATTTAATTAATTAATTAATTTTAGGTGTGGAAACATTTAATTCTACGCCCTAATCTTTTGCTAAGCTCAATGTGACCGCCTGCGCAAACAAGGAATGCGTTTGGTTGGGATTAACATAAAGAAAAAAAGAAACAATTAATTAATGAGTACGGTTAATGTATAATGCAGTCGGTACATTTCAAATGCAAGATGCAAATTAGACCGAGAAAATAAAATAATAGAAAATAATTGTGGTTTATGAAATATAAACTTGAAAATAGTAACTTTTAACTAATGGCCTTGTGACAAAAGGGTCACATATGGTCAGAATCAAATGTGGATTTCAATTATACGTTAGGCTAGTGGTTAAACCCATTATGGAGTGCATTATACGTATTATAATCTCTCTGTTAATTATTTTTTTAGTAATAAGAGTTGATTATAAGGTAATATATGTTTAGAATTTTCTTAATTTATTGACGATATATGCATATCATGTAGGTATAACTGTTTGATCTGGATTTCTAAAGAGAATAACATTTCCTTTTACTACTAAAGCAACTTGATAGATTCATATATAAATTGGTATCTAATTTTACATATGTACTGAGAATATTTTTTAGTTTTTTGAGTAAATTACATGTTTAATGCTTAAATTAATACTTTTGTTCTATTTGGTACTTAAATTTTATTTTTTTTTTAAATGGTAAACTACAAAGTTGATCACTTTCGTTTGAGTTTTATAAACTTATGATCACTGGATTCAAAAAACACAACACATAGTTATTTTCGTTTTATATTAATTAAGATGTAGTCACTAAAACATTTACTTCCGTTAGTTTGATGATGTGGTACGTTAGTAAAAGGGTATAATTTTTACTTTAACCCCTAAACTTTAGATAAAATACTAATTAGGGACCATTTTATAAATTCAAAGTAGTTTAGGAACAAAGTTCTAATTTACCCCTTTTTTAACATACTTTTCTTCTTCCCCTAGCTTCCCTAGTTGCGCCACCTCACACCCCTTTCTTGCTGTTCATCTTGTTCGTTTAAACGACCATCTTTTTGCTTTTGGTTTTATATTAGACTAGTTTTCAATATAAGTCAGATTGTTGCATCAGTAGCTGTTCTAGCAGTTTCCAGGACTGAGAAGCCACAAGCTCCATTGTCCACTTGGATTGTAGGTTACGCCGCAGGGTGTGCTGCTTGTATTCCCATCCTTTTCCACCATTGTTTTCTTCCGTATCCTACGTAAGCATTTACCTTACTTGATTGACATTTTTCAATGCTAAAATCCTTAGTACTTGATGTTCGTAATTAGCTAGCTCGTGCTTTAAGATGTTTCTCTGTGTCCTACTGTTCTTGGTGTGGAATCATTTTCTTGAATTATATATCTTCGTTTCCTTTGCCTTGTGTTGAGAGGTTTGAAAATTTTGCCATTGCCATTATAACATGGCAGGCTTAGCAGATTGTTGGATCAATTAAAATGGATGCTAAAAGCTTTCTTTTTTGTCTGGTTTATTGTCGAAAAATTTTGGCTATTTGGAGGTTACTCATCCCAGCTTCAAATTTCCACAGGCGTCGACACTTGCCTGTATAAGTATTATACTACTCTTGGCTTTTCTCTTGTCCGGAAACGAACCGATTTCTCTGATTCCATTGTTGGTTGTTCATAGAAAAATAATATATATACATATAAATTATCGAAGACAATCATCGTTTAAACGAAGAAGATGAACAGCAAGAAAGGGGTGTGCGGCGGTGCAACTAGGGAAGTTAGGGGAAGAAGAAAAGTATATTAAACAAGGGTAAATTAGAAGTTTGTCCCTAAATTACTTTAAATTTATAAAATAGTCCCTAATTAATATTTTATCTAAAGTTTAAGGGTTAAAAGTAAAAATTATACCCTTTTACTAATGTGTCACGTCATCAAACTAAATAAAGTAAACGTTCCAATGACCGCATCTTAACTAAAATAAAACTAAAGTGACTATGTATTGTATTTTTTGAATCCAGTGACCATAAGTTTAAAAAACTCAAACGAAAGTGACCAACTATGTAGTTTACCCTAAAAAAATCATATATAACAATTAGTTTAGCTTTCAATTAGTTTAGTTTACCCTAAAAAAATCATAAGGTAATGTCATGTCATCATTGAAAAATAAAAAAAATATCATGTCAATAGTTCTGTTAAATTTTGAACGACAATGTACCAAATTAAAAACTTAAAGTAAACATTAGGTATAATTTTGAGAAAAAATAAAGTTTAAATATCAAAATAAAATAAAAATAATAATTTAGGTACTAAACATATAATTTACCTTAATTTTTTATATTTATGTATTAAATTACTTATTACTTAATAGAGTCTTATTATATGTTTTGACGCATATCTTTGAGCTCATGACCTAAAAAATAATGACATTTTCTTTGTTTATTGGGACCACTCAATAAGTTTACAAATTATATATGATTTTAAATGTATATCAATTAAATTATTAAATAAAATAATATGCGATGATTTATAAAATAATATTTTTGTATGGAAAAAAATAATTAGCTTCTTTTTATATTCTATCATCTCATTTAATTCTTACAATAAATCATCGGTGCCTATTGCACATATCCTTTATAAATCTCATCAGTGTTGTTGAATTCCTGCTGCCACACCATAACGAGCCACTGAGCTGTCACTCTCCACGGAAATCAATCTGAAAATTGTCTTTGCCATTCAACATTTAGACCATCAAATATTGCCTAAAGTTCTGTCTAATGAGAATTATATACATTATTTAAAAACTAAATTTAGTATCACATCCTTGGCTCCATGGTGTAGTGGTTAGCACTCTGGACTTTGAATCCAGCGACCTGGGTTCGACTCCCGGTGGGACCTTTTTTTTGTTTTTTTTACACTTACATCAACAACGGTAATTGTTGATTGTCGGTTAAACCATGTAAAACACTTGACCCTCATGTTGATGCAAAAATGTAAGGAAATGGACACATCACGTGGCTCAACTTACTTCTACTCGTTAGCTATACTTCGCTTTCTTACCTAACCTTTTATTGCTCTTAATATGTAATAAGATGAGAGTGAAATACAAAGAGAGAGAGAACAGGCAAAGGGGGAGGAAGAAGACAAAGACACCGGGCAGTCATGACACCAAACACCATCAACGAAGTGGGCATCGACGATCTGCGCCGTGCAGGCGGTGGTGGATTAAGCATCGAGGAGGCTCAACACATCCATCAACTCATAAAACAAGCAGTTTCCAAAGCAAAGGCAGAAGCAGGGGGAAGCCAATTATGGGCAAGAGAGGTGTGGAGAGAGGTGGTAAGTAGCAGAGTGCTAAAGCCGAACCACCCACATGCACTCCACCAGCTCGTCTATTACTCCGTCTATGCTCATTGGGAAGCTTCCATTCATGGCCTCCTCTTTACTGGTTCCCTTCTCTGTACTCTCTCTTTCCCTTTCCCTTCTCTGTACTCGTGTTTAGCTAAGTTTACTAAAGTCAGACCATCGAGCTTTGTCTCTTTTGTTTTCCAGACATGATTCTAAGCTTACAAACATGGGACGAATAATGGATACTCACGGTCCAAAGCTTTTGGGGACTTCATATAAGGATCCCATTGCTAGTTTTAATCTCTTTCGTGTTTTCATTGTCCATCATCCTGATGTAACCTACTAAACTCATGCTGCTCTTCTCCTTGTCCCTAATGGAGCACTACAAACAAATTGACCACTTCTTTTTCCTGCTTGAACAATTGCTAGGTTTACTGGTCAATCATACTAAAAGAGATTGCAGTTACATTTCGTGAATCGCCCAAGTGCATCCTGGATACCACTGACAAATCAAGACCCGGGGGAACTTGGCTTCCCGGTTCTGTTTTGAATATTGCTGAATGTTGCTTATTACCCTCGAGTCATCCGAGAAAAGAGGACGATTGTTGTGCGATTGTATGGAGAGACGAAGGCGATGATGATACCGATGTGAACCGTATGACACTTAAACAGCTTCGACAGCAAGTCATGTATGCTTTCATTTACTTGACCTGCATTTTTGTTTCAAGTGTTTGTCATATAGATATAATCGAACATTGCAACTCTTATTTCTTAAGCTGATTTTTAATGTACAGGTTGGTGGCAAATGCACTGCAGAGAACTTTCAGAAAGGGTGATGCAATTGCCATTGATATGCCAATGACAGTAAATGCAGTTATTATATATCTGGCAATAGTTTTAGCTGGACTCGTTGTTGTATCTATAGCTGATAGTTTTGCTGCCAAGGAAATTGCAACGCGTTTGCGAGTCTCGAAGGCAAAGGCTATTTTCACTCAGGTGTTCTTCCACTTCTGTAGGAAATCTCTGCTTTCATACAAATAACTTTTCTCCATTTCACTATAGATTCTGATTCTAATCCCCTATTTTCCATTGCTATCTGTTCAGGATTTTATACAAAGAGGAGGTCGAAAGTTTCCTTTGTACAGGTAAAAGAAATTACCCTTCTGCTGTATAGTACAGATGAACTGATACTACTCTTGGTATTCACTGCTGTTTTTCTCAACTTTGCAGTCGAGTCGTAGAGGCTTCTCCGGATAAAGCTATAGTGCTCCCTGCGTTTGGAAACCACGTCGGTATTCAATTAAGAGAACAAGATATATCATGGAAAGATTTTCTTGCCCATGACAATCAGCATCCGAGGTATATAATGTCTACAATTACAGGTTGAGAGCAGTTTAATCGGTCTGTGTACTTGTACATAACTGCATAATGTCATCTTTATCTCTGTTGTAGACCAAATCATTTCACTCCAGCTTATCTACCAATAGATTCTGCAATTAACATACTATTCTCATCCGGAACCACAGGTGGAAAATTTGTCACTTGATTTATGATTTACACTATATACATTTCTTTATTAATTTGGAGATTTTCAAGTATGCTATATTGGCCTTGATCAGGAGAGCCAAAAGCGATTCCATGGACACAACTTTCGCCTATTCGCTGCTCTTCTGAAGCATTAGTTCACATTAATGTCGGAGTCGGAGATGTTTACTGCTGGCCTACAAATCTAGGATGGGTGATGGGACCCATTTTACTCTTCTCATGCTTCTAACTGGTGCAACCCTTGCTCTCTATCATGGATCTCCTTTGGGCCGTGGTTTCGGAAATTTGTTCAGGATGCAGGAGTTACTGTTTTGGGCACAGTTCCAAGTTTAGTGAAAACTTGGAAGAATACAAAGTGTATGGAAGGCTTAGACTGGACAAAGATAAAGTAGATGTCCTTTCCCTTATCCAAAAACTGAACTTTTGCATCAGTTAAAACTCTCGTAAAAGAGACTAATCGGTTTTCTACGGCTGCAGAACTTTTGCTAGCACTGGAGAAGCCTCTAATGTTGATGATGACCTTTGGCTTTCATCTAAATCTTACTACAAGCCTGTTCTTGAATGTTGCGGAGGCACTGAGCTAGCATCATGTTACATCATGGGGAGTCCGCTGCAGCCACAAGCTTTCGGAGCGTTTAGCACTGCATCGATGACAACCGGTATAGTCATCTTGGATGAACATGGAGTTCCCTATGTAAGAACTTAATCCGGAAGTTGGTGCGGTTTCCTTTGCAACAATTTCTAATAAAACTTGACAATTCACCATATTACATATAGAACACATATGACTAACCTTTGTAACAGCCGGATGATAAAGCTTGTGTTGGTGAAGTTGGTTTATTGCCTCACTACTTGGGAGCATCTGATAGATTGCTTAACGCCGATCACGAGGACGTTTACTTCAAGGGAATGCCGACATTTAAGGGAATGGTATGGTTTTTGGATTTTCTGTGGTTAATAGTTCTGCCAAATGCTCGATGAAACGGGGATTACAAAAGGAAAGAATGCTTAGAACAATGTTCAAGCAACGATTATTTTGTAATCTCCCCTCGACAAATGCTTCGACTTGCTATCTTATGATTTGATACATGCCCTTGGCAGCGCCTTAGGAGACATGGGGATATCCTCAAGAGAACAGTCGGAGGCTATCTTGTTATTCAAGGAAGGGCTGATGACACAATGAATCTTGGTGGAATTAAGGTATTCCACCCTTCCTCTCTCCTCGTATTGTTGTCTTGTAATTAAGTGAACTACATCATCTAAATTATTCTGTGTCAAACTTCAGATCATTATAGTCCTGAAAGCATGAACTTCCTTTATTTGCAGACAAGCTCTGTTGAAATCGAACGTGTTTGTGACCGCGCGGATGAAAGCATCTCGGAGACTGCTGCAGTCAGTGTGGTACCACCCGATGGTGGTCCAGAACTGTTGGTGATTTTTGTGGTTCTAAAGAAAGGGTTTGATGAACAACCAGAGAAGCTGAAGACGGTGTTCTCCAAAGCCATTCAAACCAACCTCAACCCATTGTTCAAGGTTCGGTTCCTCGATGTTTTAACATCTTTCCCTTCATATGTAGTTTCGGCAACTAAGCATCACCATATAACTTGATAAGAATGCTCGGATTCGAAAGTCGAAATTAAAAGATACAAGCATATTGATATTTTATCGATAACAGGTGAACGGTGTGAAGATAGTCCCGGAGTTTCCCAGAACTGCTTCAAACAAATTGCTTAGGAGAGTATTGAGGGACCAAATTCAGCATGAACTGTCTGTCAGAAGCAGGATGTGAAGGCTGACAGATTCAGCAGTGCTTCAAAAATCATATATATATATATATCATACCATGTGGGATGTTCTGAAATTGAATTTTTATTAAGCAGGATGAATTTTTAATGAAATATGTATCAAATAATTTGCATAATTGTGAACTAATACTGTAACTTCATAGACATGACCATAATGCACTACGTGTTGGGATTGAGTAAAATTTTATGGATCAATTATTAAGAAAATGTTCTCAACATCCTTCTACAGATCCTTAACACTCAAATGGACATTATTCTACCGATGAAAAGGAAACAAAAATTAAAGTTTTCCAAGGAAAATAAATAAAAATCTCACATTGTCTGCCAGAAATGGTGCGTGCGCCTCCAGTGTTGGACTCAGCTCTTCGACCTCCTCTTTGTAGAACCATAATTGAAGGAAACAGAGCCTCATCGGCCCAAGCAGGCTTGCTGCGACCAAACAACCACCATTGCGGACAACCAATCTTTATCTTAAATTTTGAAAAGAGTTCTCAGAAAACCCCACTGCGGAGCACTGGCCACCAGATGCAGAAGCTCATCAACTCGGTGGCGCTTCCCTTTACAGGAAGTATTCAGGTGTCTGCGGGTTACATCGGGCTCTCCTCTCCTCGGAGCTGGCTCAAACTGCAACACAATACTTGTAAATTGTTTATATACCGATGTGATTGCAAATATATACATACAGCTCACCTGAATGAATGTATGACCCTTGCAGTCATCAACTTCCAAGATGGAAGCCATGTTTCCACATCGATAGCAATAATTAGGTGCACTAAATATAGTAACAACGTTTTGTTCCTGCCAAAAAGGAATTAATGATATGAATTACACGTTTCTGATATCAGCACTCAAAGATTAAATACTTACATGACCCCAATTGAATCCTTCCATGACCAGCTGATGAGCCCTGGCAATAAGCTTCAAATTGTTTTTACGGTTAAATTGCTCCGATATGTCCTGGAGTATCGTAAAAGTGGATATGTTACACCAAGTTTTGACAAACGTATATCCTTAAAAACCAGAAAAGAAAGCTAAAAAATGAATATACTTGGCCAAAGGTATACCCAGCACCTCTTGGAGAAATGCCCCAACCACATCGATCATCGGGGTCGGACCACAATAGATCACACATGGGACCTTCATGGGGGACTTCTTGAACACGGTCAAAGTTACGTATGTTATCCAGGGTTTCAATTGCCGGAGACAACCCACCATGGAGACAGAAAATTTCAGATTCGACCTTCAAAAAACCCAAAAGTCTGCAGCTAAGAATCAATCATTAACAAAATCCAAGTGCAAACTCAACAGAAAGAATACATTTGCCAACCCAAGTTAGTGTTCTAAATTCATGTTAAAAATTCACAAAAGATCATAACAAACAGAAAAAAATAAATAATAAATACTAACCAATGCTGTTAATGGAAAATAATCAAATAGATCAGTGAAAGTTTTCCAAACATTTGCAGTGCCATATCTGCAATCAAAATAGAAAACATACCTTCAAATAATGTTATCAATCCAAAAATCAAATGAAAGAAGAATTAAAATTGGACCATCACAATGTTAGGCAACTATTAATGTTTTCTGCAAATAAAAAACAACGTTATATTTTCAAAACAAGAATTACATGCAAAGTGAATCCTGCCTTGTAGCACAGAAGATTTGAGAACCCTTTAATATTAGGTAACTTCATTGCAAAACAAGCCCATATGACTTGTGTACATATGTACATCTAGATCGAAATAACTTAATTAAAAAATTTCTTACACCAGCATATTCCTATCATAGTACGTTGTATGTTTCTATTATCATGTTAGGTTCATGCATCAAAACTGTGCACATTGAACAACAAATGTAACCAGGTTAACTCCCAAGTAGTCCCAATTGACAAATTAAGCCTTTAAGCCTAATGAACTTTAGAAACTATGTATATATATATATATATATAGAGAGAGAGAGAGCAAGATTATAAGATACTCACTTCCTTAGACATTCATCATAAAAGCCATACACTTGAGTAATCTGCATTTTAAACATAAAACCATCAAGTAGATAAATAAGTTGCAAAGGAAAAAAAAGAGTTACAATCATTTTCTTACGAACAAGATATGTATGTGTAATAAACAATCACTTCAAAAAAAAAAGAAACATAACAAACCTGACGACTCTCATGATTTCCCCTCAGAATTGTAATCCGTTGGGGGTAACGCACTTTGATGGAAGCTGAATAAAAGTCAATCACAAACAATATAAATAATTCATAGAATGATTTATAAATTACAAATTATAGATTGCAACCTCAACACTGCCAAATAACTTGAATGATTTAAGGTTCTGAACAAAATAATTCATAGAATGAATATCACCACAATATACAAGTTGTCCAGATTAATTATGTTGACGGGAAAAAATCAACTTATAGATTATAGTTTCATTATTTTCATGTTTGACTCCCATACATTGTTAATGAATCTGCATAATATTGACATCAATAAACAATCGTGCCACACAAGTTGGCAAAGCACATGGATGCATGGTAATGTTAACTCTATCAATTGAGTTACGTTGCTTATTGATGTATGACATAGTTTAAGTCCTTGAATTTTGATTACTTATTGGCTCATTTTAGACAATTTTAAGCTTTTAGTTAAGTACTTTTTCATGTTTTGAATATCAGATTATTTCATACAAACAAA